AAGTACCACATGTGGAAAAATACATAACATATTGTCCTTTGTCTGAGCTTCTACTAACTACCTTTGTCCCAGCAGAATCACATAGCTAAGTCCAAAGTATTTATAGCCTACAAAGATTTTTATTTGAATTATATTTTCAAAACTTCCTTAAAGGTTCACTGTGAAATTGTGAGATGGAAAATAGTCATCTTATAAAGGGACACCGGGATTTGAGGGCATTTGCTCACTGTCGCCAAAAACATTTAAATCAGATTTTTTTTTAATAGTACGTTTGCTGATACTGTTTAGTATTTAAAAGATAATACTACCAGCAGGAGGCATGTAGGTTAAGGTGCTGAATCCCACATGGAGACTCTGCAGTTCAAGTCCTTTACCCAATGGCTTGAAAATCATGCCAGGTGCATGTGTGTTCATGCCCAAAGTCCCAAGAGGAGAATGGAGGAGAAGGGATTGCAGCACAATCTTTCCCTCTCTCTCTCCTGACTCTCTGGCAAGCACACACACCCTATAGCAAAAACTGAAAAACAACAAAAAAGCATACTGCTTATGTTGATTTTTCTGATTTACTATTGTCTTAGTTTTTCTTTATCTAACTTTCCAAACTTAATTAAACTCTACTTTTACAAAGTAAATCAGTGAATTGATGTCAGCATTTGCCCTGATGGGATTTCAGACTCATCATGAGGTTCTGGGAAAATTCTGGCTCAATTGTTACTGACATAGGAGGCTTTACAGTTATTTATTAGAAGACAGCCTGGGAGGAAAAGAGAAAATGGATTGATTTGAGCCTGTAATGCTAAATATGGCACACTGCTGCTATCTTTTCATTACTGCTTCCTCCAAGAGTCATCATTTCAATGCACTAATCTTTTAAACAGCCATTCAGTGGGAATTGGGCTAGAACTTTGCTACGGGGTCACATTCACCAGCCTGACAGTTATACATTTACAAAAGAAATAGCATGAATTTATTCAGCATCAAAACCTCTGCGTCTTTTACCACCCAACTACATTTCACACTGTATTACCATCAGTTCACTATAATGGCTATATAAATTCCTTCCAGATTCTTCATTTAATTAACTAGCATTCTTTGAACAAAAATAAAAGTGCTGCTTTTATAGAGGAATAAAAGCTGCATGAAGTGAGTGTGAAGGAGACAAATCATCAAATTAGTTATTCTTCATTGCAGCTATAGAGAATTTTCTGCCCCTCTTCCTTCTCTTTAGAAATGCCGTGTGTGTGTGTGTGTGTGTATGTTATATGTGTATGTGCATGTGTGTGTGTGTACAATGCAAGGTGTTTGAGTCTATTGTAATATATCGTAATGGTCCCATCCCCACCCTAAGCTCGTGCAGTGCTGGGCGCCGTTGATAGTATAATGTATAAGTGATTTTTTAAAAACACTTTCTGCATTTGGTAAGGTATAGCATAGTAACCAAGAACATAAACTTTGTAACTAGATTAAAATTAGACTTGTTGGGTTCAGTTCCTACCTCTGTCACTTACTAAGTTTGTGATTTTATTTTTTTGAGGTTTTTGTAAGGCATGTACAATCACCAGACAAAGAGACAGAAAGTGAGAAATCACCCTGCAGGGGAGATAGCCATGCAAAATCCCTTCTCCTCCTTTCCCTCTTGGGATTTTGAGCAAGCATGCACACATGTCCGGTGTGAGTTTCAAGCTGCTGGGTCCAGGATTCAAATCGCAGTCAGCCATATGGGAGTCCAGAGATTTAACCACCATGCCATTTGCTGGTCCCTGGGTTTGTGATTTTAAGCAAGTTCCTTAACCTTCCTGAGATTGAATGTCTTATCTGTAAAATGAGGATAATAATAGGGAGATAATATGACATAATAGATTTAGTGTGTGTTGTAATAGACATACTTCATATAGCAGTATGCAGACTGAGTTGATCCGTATTAAATAGTGCAGGCACATGGCACACCATCGCTCCCTGTATGCCCAGCAACACTCTAGTGAGAAGTGGCTCCTGCTGTATTACAAGTGACTCTCCTCATGACCTGGACTGAAGGAGTGGTCTGTGTGGATAAATGTCCATTTCTTCCCTACATATTTCTTTTAAAAATACTTTTTAATTATAAGATAATTACTTTAAGATATAAGAAAATAAAGTTCTTTGAATCAAAAGTATAGATGTGTAATTGGCCATATCTCTTTATTCTGCACCCTGCTACCATATTTAGCTTTCAAGAAGACTGTTTTCTTACTATGTTCTTCTCAGAAGCCTTCAAGACATTCCCAAATTTGGCTCACCTTGCGGTTTCTACCAGAACCTGACCCTTGCCTCCCTCGCCCCCATAGGTAGCCTCTACTCCAGTTAGACCAGTGCCATTTCTCAGATGTGTCACATACCTTCTTATCCCTCTTCTTTGTTCATACTGTTCTGTCTCACACTCCTCGCTTCCACCATTTATCCAAATCACACCTGACATTCTAAACTGAGCCAGAAAGGGAGAAGTTATCTTCTACCCCTTTGTACTTTTATCACATAACATGGTTGTCTGGGTGCAGTATCTACTAATAATGTTCTTTGTGAATTGTTTTCTGAGCTCTGCTTTCAAACAGGTGAGAATAACACCATTTTACACCATGTTCCACCATTAGGCCTTGTCCAAGCCACAGTTACTTTCTGCTTGTCCCCTTTCTCTTCTCCTGATTCCACACTTGCTCACCTCTACCCACCCCCTGACGTCTACTCTAAACACAGCACTGAAAGTAATCCTCTTAAAGTCTTGGGACCAGCAGATGGCGTAATGGTTACATCACTGGATTCCGACGTAGCTGACTATGATTCGAGTCCCAGACCTGGCAGCTTGAAACTCATGCCAGGCATGAGCGTGTGCATGTGTGCACGCCCAAAGTCCCAAGAGGATGGAGGAGGAAGGATTGTGGCATGGCCAGCCCCCCAGGAGGTAATTTCGCACTTTCTCTCTTTCAATGTCTCCGGTGAGTGCACTTGCCCAAATGTCTCCGGTGAGCGCACTTGCCCTGTAGCAAAAATCTCTCTCTGAAAAAAAAAAAAAAAGAGAATCTATTCAGGACACACGGTTTCTCTCCCCAAAACCCTCCAATTACTTCCCATCTCACCTCACCTTGCGTAAAACTAGTCTTTACAAGGGCCTGTAAACCCCCTTAGGCTACCACTCCACTCTAAGCCACTCCTACAGTCTGTCCTCATGGCCTAACACTGTCCTCTTCTGTTTTCTACTGTTTTATACCTCTGCCATATTGGCCTCCTTGGTGTTCCAGGATTAGGCAAAACATAATCCCGTCTGAGGGCCTTTGCACAAATCATTCCCTCTGCCAGAAAGTTCCACCTTGAGAAATCATGGTAATTGATCAGAGACCAGGAGAATGCCAGAACTCTGATCAGTTATCTTCTTAACGGTCTCTGATAATCTCTAATTTGCTATCTCCCCAAACTGTAATGTCAATTCTGGGGACAAGATGGAGGATTCTTAGTCCGTTTTGTTCTGCGTCTATCCCAGTACCTGAAATAGAACCTGACACATAATAAGTACTTAATACATAGTTTTTGAATGTATGAATAAAAACTGATCCTTAAGAATACATCCACATTTCCAACCCTCCCAACACTTCATATATTTTTAGGCTCAAACAAAAGCAAGTGTCCAATAACAGCTCCAAGAAAATTGAAATAGCCATAGTTTAATATTTGCCATGGCAATTGGAGCAGAAAGTTCCATTGCAAAGAGAGATTTCTGCATCAAATAAAAGAAAAAGAAATGGTTTACAGTAAAGCTGCCATGTTAAATTATAATGGTGTCCTGAGGGACTGTCTTTGACCCCGGGCGCATTTTGAGAGAGCAGGTGGTTTGGCCACCGTAGCCTCTTCCTAAGGTGGAAAATGTAGCTAGTATATGGGGTTTAGTTTGTCATTTAGAGACAGAGTACAGTGATGGGAAAGAAAATATTAATATTGGAGTCAGGAAGACCTGGATTCAAATTCTGACACTACTGTGTGTCCTTGAACAGGTCGTGTAACTTCTCTGAGTCTGTTTGCTTATGTATGATTTTTTTTTTTTTTTGGTAGAGGTTTTTGCTATAGGACATAAGCAAGTGCTCGCCAGAGAGAGAGACAGAGACACTGAAAGGGAAAGTGAGAAATCATGCCCTGGGTGGATGGCTAGGCTGCAATCCCTCTTTCTCCACGCTCCTCCTGGGTTCTTCAGCACACGTGTGTGCACATGCGCACGTGCACACACGCCCAATGATTTTCAAGCAACCAGGTATGGAACTTGAACTGCAATTGACCATGAGGGAGTCCAGCAATGTAACCCAATACGCCATCTGCTGGGCCTGTGAAATGGTTTTTATAACAGCTCTCTCTCAATTTTGTGCTAAAAGTTGAGGGAAGAAACATGGAGCACCTGAGATAAAACGTGTTTCATAAATGCCTTGGAAGCATTGCATCCTACAGCTAAAGCTATATATTTTGCTACTAAATGCCACCTTTTGGCCTAAACCACAAGAGAAAAGCAGTAGTTAGACTGATAGCAGGAGAAAGTTTTGGCCCTGGAGGCTTGTCCACGGAGAAGCCTCACAACGTGATCGATCTCTGCGCACCACCTTCTGAAGCTGCAAGAGCATTCTCAGAACATGAGCCCTACCACCTGCTTGAATCTCGTAGTCTACTTGTATCTTTTGAACCAACTCTTTTTCTTTATTCCATCTTTAGTCCTCTTCTATTTTCCTTATTTTCTAAATGTTATGTTATGCCTGTGAAATGAGAGATAATTATCCAAGAAATCAACAAAGAAAAAAATTGGATCAGGCAGCTACTCCACATAATAAAATAACATGAATATTAATTTCCAAATAGAGTAGTGAAGAACATATTGTCTGTTCATTAAGTTTTGCAATTATAACTTCCAGAGTGATGAAAATATTTTATGTAAACCACTGAACTATATTTTTTTAACATTGTTTTAATGACATTAATCTTGACACCTTTAGGAAGCCAAGGCTGTAGTTGAAGAAACAAGAGCCTTGCGAAGCCGGCTTCATCTTGCCGAAGCTGCACAGAGGCAGGCACACGGGATGGAAATGGACTATGAAGAAGTGATCCGTCTGTTAGAGGCCGAGATCACAGAGCTAAAAGCCCAGCTTGCTGATTATTCTGACCAAAATAAAGTAAGCAAAACAGTCTTCTCTTCTAGTTTCCATGGTTTCCTTGCCGTTGTCATGTATCCTGTTTTCATTTTCTTTTCATCTGCACTCCTAAACTAGGTCAGTGTTTGTCTTCTATTATTCAATGATAGGATGATGTGTCATGATGGGGGTAATGTGAAGGTTGTGAGCCTTCCTTTTTCTAGGATTGACAAGCATGTGCCCCGAATTTATTTGGGTCATTGGTTAGCATTGTTCAGCTCAGGCATTAAATCCTGGAACTATTTAACACTTAATTGATTACGTTGGTTTTTCCCTTTTGTTTCTAAACTTGCTAATTTGTCTCCTGGAGATATAAGGACCAGAGTCTAGGGATGGGTTTTATTCTTTGATTAGTACAATCCAGAAAAGTGTGAAAGTTAAAGAATTTTTGCCCAAGGCCCAAGATACTTAAGAAGAAACTGAGTCTGCATTTCAGTATGGAAGGTATACTAAATTAGACTCAGAAGAGCTTCAAATTTTGGAAGCAAAATACTGAATGGTTTTCAGAAAACTATGCGAATTTTTCTTTATGTGAATTTTTTAACATAATACATACTATATTCATTGAATAGCCTTTAAAAACTACACCAGACATATTATTTTTTTACTTCACTGCACGTAGAAAACTGAATTAATTGAAACAAATACTTTATAACATCATGGAATTGTTCACTTAAAATAGGGACTTATATCTCTAATCATACCAGCTTTCAAAAGAACATAAAGCAAATTTAAATAATTTATGACTGTTTATTTAAACCTAAAACAGTTAAATACTTTAAATATACCAAGTGAAAATGAAACTAGCTTTGGAAAAGCAAAATACAGATGAAAATTTCTCTGCATAGCTCATCAGAGTTACTAACATGTATGTCTTCTATCTTCCATTTCAACCAACTCCACAAGGGGACTGAAGTTCTCATTACCCTTCCATAATTCCACAAAGCCAAGAGGAAAACATACTGCTTGAAAAAGCAGAATATTTGGGAGTATTACGTACATTTATTATCTTTTATCTAGTATCTACATTGTAAGAACAGAAATAGATGATGATTTCATGTAACTTTAACCTGGTTCTGAGAATATTTGGGGAACTATCAAAGTATTAAAAGTGTTTTTATAATAATTGTACTTGATAAAAGATAAAAAAAACAATATTTAATATTTTTTAAAATATAACTTTTAAGATCACACAAAATTAATCAAATTTTTTAAAAAAAAATCTTAGGTTATTTGCTGCCTCTCTCCCAGCTCCCAGCTGAGAGACATTTTTGTCCTAAGTTGCTTTATAATATAATTAATTCAGGTTTTTTCACTTTTTAATAGATATAATAGAGGGTCTCATGCCATTTCTCTTAACAAGACACTAAACCAAGCCAGTAACTTGTCTGTGGAAGTTGTTTTTTGTTTTTTTTTTTTCTTTTCAAACTAGAGATATTAGACATGGTCATCTTAGTATCCTGCGTTTCCCATATACAGTATCAGTGGGGAAAAAAAGAAGGGAACTTTTTTTTTTAATTGTGTAAGATTGCTTAAAGAGACATTGACTAAATGTTATAGAATTAGGATTCAAATATTTATTTTTAAGAAACAGATTCTTTTTGTAACAATACTTTTATTTTTATTATAATTTTCCCATATTTGTTTACTTACTTATCTATAAGTTTCTTTTATTCACCTCTGGCTTAAGACATAAAACATTTGAGCCAGCTGGTGGCATGGCAGTAAAGGCAACTGGCTCCCACATGGCTGATTACACAGTTTGAGTCCTGAATCTGGTGGCCTGAAAAACACCCCAGGTACATGCATGTGCATGCCTGAAATCCCTAGAGGAGGGAGAGATGACAGAGGAGAGATTAAGGCATGATCATACTTCATGGGGGGCGATTTCTAGCTTTTCCTCCCTCCATCTCTCCCTCTTTTAAATTTGTCTCACAAATGCTTGCACTCTGTGGCAAATTTAAAAAAGAAAGAAAAGATTTCTAATATCTTTGAAGACCATGCTGTCCCTCTCTAATTACATTCTTCTCCCACTACATTACACTCCCTTGCCCTCAGAGGTAACTGCTTTTCTCTTTTTCATGTAAATCATTCTTTTGATAATTTTACTTCTTATGTATCTCTCTCTTAACAAGGTTGTCTGATTTTTCCTGTTTATCAACTTTCTAAAAATAGAAATATGCTATACATGTCATTCTGACTTTTTTTTTTTAGTTTGCTATAAGGAATGTGTGCTCATCAGAGAGAGAAAGGGAGAAATCACCCCCTAGGGTGAATGACCATGGTTCAGACTCTTTTCCTCCATTCTTCCAGGATTTGGAGGATGCACACACACATGCCAAGTGTGATTTTCAAGTCACCAGATCTGAGACTCGAACCATGGAGCTGGCCTTGTAGGATCCAGGGACCTTCACCTCCACGCCACCTCCTGGCCCTCTGACTTGCTTTTTATCAATCAACTTTTTTATTTTTGCAATGTTTCGATTTGAAGTTTATGCTAGTTTGTGTTTCTCATTGCTTCCTTTACTCCATTGCATGGAGTCCATTTAATCAGGGTCATTTATTGTTGGGTTCTCTAACATTTACTGTTTAACTTTATTTTATTGTTATGGTTCTCTATCCATATTATTTTATTTATTTATTTATTTATTTATTTATTTATTTTGTCTAAGCCATCACTGCTCGGGGAAGTATGTTAAAAATCTACCTGTGTTTTTGTTTATATATATATATTATATATATGTTGGGTTTTTTTTTGTTTGTTTTTTGAGAGAGAGAGATTTTTGCTATAGAGTACATGTGCTCACCAGAGAGACAAACAGAAAGTGAGAAATCACCCCTCTCTCAGGGGTATGGCCACACTGCAACCCCTTATCTTCCATTCTCCTCTTAGGATTTTGGGCACACATGCACACGCACTCACCGTGCTTCAAGATGCTTCCTCTGGGGCTAGAACTGCTATTGGCCACATGAGAGTCCAGTGCCTTAACTCCTATATCACCAGCTGGCCCCTCTGTATATATATATACTTAGATGCACACAAGTTTGGCATTATGGTATCATTCTTTTTAGAAAATGTCATGACTCTTCAATCTAGCAATCTTTTTGCCTTACTGCCTACTTTTGATTAATATTAATATGCTAACAGCAATTTTCTTGCTTTCTTTTGGTTGGTATCTACCTATATATTTTTCCCCCACTGATTTACTTTCACCTTTTCAATGTCCTTATATTTTAATTGTGCTTCTGATAAAGAATAGCTGGATCATTCTCCATCTAATTTTGACCTTCAATTGGAAAAATCTTTCTATTTATACTCATACTAGCTAATGCATTTGACTTCATTTCATAAACAAAATACTCAACACTGATCATTTTTATATCTTCTTTATTTATAGATCTGATCCTGTAATTTATTTCCTTTAGCTGACTTTCATTCATTGAACTTTCTTTTTTTTTAAGTCATTTTCAGCTGTGAAGTCATATTCTTTTAACACATTACACATGGGAATTCTTTAATATCTAAAGAATTTAAAAAATACCTTTGTGTTCACTTCTACTATACTGGGACTGATTTAAACAAAATTTTCAGCTTGTAGATTTTAGGCCACACAAGTAATATAAATTCTGGTCCCAAACCTGCATGAATTAAGAATTGTCATGAGAGATTTTTTTTTTTTAACTCACTCACTGGAGCAAAGATGAAATTTTTTTTTTTTTACCTCTTCCCAGTTTACCCATTAAACTTCTTGTTTGCCATTTGTGACTGTTGAAACCCTGCAGTGTAGGCCTCCAGGGCTCAGCATATACCCTCAGAACAGATGATGTTTTAGTGCACTGTTACCCTGTGGGTTCACTCACATTGCAGTTGCATGTCTCCATGGAATCTCTTTACTTCTCTGCCAGCTCAGCCTTAAATGGATTGTATTACATTAGGTGTGTGTGTGTGTGTGTGTGTGTGTGTGTGTGTGTGTTTGAAGAGAGGAAAGCACTACATGGGTACATGTCTCCAGCATTTTTAGTTACACCAGTAAAGGTACTTGTTATTTTTGTCAGCTTCTGGTAAGACACACTGCCAGTAAATAAATAAATAAACCTAATTTACATGCATTTTACTTAAAGAGTCAATAAATTTATATACCACTTACCTCATAAAACTTATAGAATTCCTGGGCCAATCAACTGTAAAATATGCTATTAATTTTTCCCAAATCAGAAGCTACGTACAGTAAAGTAGAAAATAAATGATGTGGTAGTATTGAATATTCGTTCATAAAACCCAAAAGTAGGAACTAGTAATGTAAAATTAAAGAAATGTATAAGACGCTCCTTTGCTATGTCTGTCCAGGAAAGTGTTCAGGATTTAAGAAAGAGAATCACAGTACTTGACTGCCAATTGCGAAAATCAGAAATGGCTCGAAAAACTTTTGAGGCATCCACTGCAAAGCTGCTTCATTTTGTAGAGGTAAGTTTTCCGGTTATAGTACATTATGTCCATTTTTAAGAAATGTATAGGCAGCTGACATACCGATAAATGTCATGATATCCAGTGGCTAGTGGAACATTCTCTGACTCAGAACAGTAATGCTGACCTACAGTCATTTTCAGATAATCAAAAAACCTGCTCACATTACTGTATATAGATTGTTAAGAAAAGCAATTTAAACAGGGTAATGCCATCCCAAATATATACTGTGTTTTAATGATTACTTTCCTAAAAAATTCTGATAGTGTGTGAATGTCATTTGATAAATATTTACCCTAAAAAGAAGTATTTTATAGCTATCTATTTCTGTGTAGAACCCCATGTAAATTTAACTGACCCCCCCATAACAGAAACATTTTTTTGTTTAACCAATGGGGAGGGGAGACTGTAAATATTAAAAGGAAGAAAAGACACTTCTAAAAGTTGTCAAACTTATATATCTCCTTTACCATCTTGTCTGTTGCCAGGCTATACAAGAAGTATTTTCTGATAATTCTGTCCCTTTATCAAATTTGAGGTAAGAATATTTAAGTGTTTTTTGCAGAGGTTTGACACAAAATTCTTTATCTAGTAATTATGACTAAAATGTGAAAAATGTCTTGAGTTACCTTAAAATGTTTCATAATCCCATTGGTTGCCATTCTTTAATGTCTTGTGGGAATAGGTGTTAGGACACATTGGTTTGGGTCCTGTCTATAAAATTAATTACTGGAAGTATTTGGCCAATCATTGTTACCTTGTGCTCTAAAACTGAGGTAGGACTGACATATCCATGTATTCTTTGTCAAGAATGCCATTAAGATGAGATTAACTTGATATTCTTTAAATATCCTATGTATGAATAAAAGTTATTGTCCAAGTTCACTGAAAAAGGTCGGTGTCATCTCAGCAGACCAGCTTTCATGGCAAATGATTTTGCAAAACATATTTGTACAATAAATTTCTATCATTTGCATCATTCAGTATACATAAATAAAATATATTTGGAGAATAAACTTTTATTTTCTTTTTTTCATAATATTTTAGATGTAAAGTTTCTTAGGAGGAGATACACACATAACTAATAAGATTTATTTACTTGTAGCCATAAGTTTGTGGTCCTGTTGATACTGATAACAGACATATACAAAGAAAGAATTCTGATTATGCATTTTCAAAGTTTTTTTTTTCATTTTAAAGTATTTGCCACTAGTTCTAAATATGTCTTATATGTCTAGCATATGCACTTGAAATTCTCTAACATAAAAAATCTACCCTATTTAAAAATAGCAGTTTAATAAATAAAATAAATGAAGATAGATGGCGATTTTCAAATTTGGAAGAATAGCTATAGTTGTTCACTTTCTTTTTCTTTTTAGTTTGGTGTAGAACACAGGGGTTAACTGGAGAGAGACAGAGAGAGAGAGAGAAAGTGAAAAAAATCATTCCCCAGGAGATATGGTCACACTGCAGTCCCTTCTCCTCTCACTATTTTGGGCACTTGTACACATGTGCCCAGTATGCTTTTTTTTTAAGAAAGAAATTTTTGCTATAGGGCATGTGGACTTGCTGGAGTAATAGAGAGACAGAAAGTGAGAAATAACCGCACTGGAGTGATGGCCATGCCACAATCCCTTCTCTTCCATTCTCCTGTCAGGTTTTTGGGCATGTACACACACACGCCCAATTTGAGTTTCAAGTCACCGGGTCTGGGACTCAAACCATGGTAAGCCATGTGGGAGTCCAGTGACATAATCGCTATACCATCTGCTGACTACACTCAGCCAGTGTGCTTTTTAAGCCACTGATCAGGACTTAAACTACACTGTTGGCTATGTGGAATCCAGCTGCCTTCACCATGCCACTGGCTGGCCCTGGTTGTTCACTTTTAAACTCATTTTAATGTAATGTTTTATTTCTTATAATAAAGGAACCTGATAGTTTTATGGTTATCCAATTGTGTACATACCATGGTTATTATTTTCAGTAAGGAGAAAATACTGAATAATTATATCTCCCTTTTTTAGATTAAATGTGCCCTCTATCCTTACCTTCAAGGTCTCATTTGACCTTATCTTAGAATTTAAAATTTCGGTATTAAAATCAAAGTTAAAAATAATTATTTAAAAGCGAGGGCTTGCCTCAGGAGGACAGGTGCGGGAAGGCAAGTTAAACAGTGGTAAAATCTGTTTCAGTCTTTTTAATATCCCAGTACCTCTGCATAGATATTGGCCTTAGTATTCAAAACAGAATAAAGGCTATGTATTTATTTAGTTTGTGTTCATGAATTAATAGCATCAACATAAAAAGATGGATTGTAAGTAAATGATGGCATTATCATTAGTTAAATGATCTCTTTCCAAGTTAAAGTTTTAGTGTAATTTTTTTGAGGAAAATCTTGCATTTTTAATTATATTGGAAAACATTCATTTTAGGTGACATTCGCAGGTTTTTTGGAAATAATTATTTTATTTAATTTTATTTGTTTTTGTTTTTATTTTGTTTTGTTTTAAATGTAACCAGAGACAAACAGAGAGAGGGAAAATGAAAAAGCAAATCTCCAGGTCTGGGACTCAAACCGCAGTAGGCCATGTGGGAGTCCAGCATCTCAACCACCATGCCACCTGCTGGCCCAGAAATTTGCACTTTTTTATTTTTAAGAATAATTTAATTTAATTTATTTATTACTATTCTTCCATTTGACAGAGAGAGAGAGAAGGAGAGTGAAAAGGCAAGTCACCAGGTCCAGGTTTCAAACCATGGTCAACCATGTGGGAGTCTGGCACCTTAACCATCACACCACCTGCCAGCCTTGACATTTGCAGTTTTAAAAAAATGTTATAAATGTTCAAGGGTGTTTTAGCTTTAGGGACAACAAATGAAAAAGTTGAGAAGATAATTTCAGGATCAAATTATATATATTGAATTTATAGTTACTAAGAGTGATAGTAAGTGTCTGTTTCCTAAATTTATGTTCACAAACTTAACTTGAACTTTTATAAAACTTAGTAAAAGGCTACATCATATCATATTAGCAAAACACAAGTCCTCAAAATAAGTCTAGCAAGTGATTTTTGGAGGCAAGCAGTCCTTCTATTGCTTCCTTCTTATATATAAAGTCAACTTATTTTTTAAAGTATGTCTGTTTAATATATAATAAAAAGTTGAAAATAGAAACATTGTTTTGAGTGAATTACTTAGTTTATGATTGTAAGAATAGAGTGTTTCAGCCCTCCAATGACATGGTGGTTAAAGCAGTTGGATCCCACATGACCAGCTACAGCTATTCTTTTTTTTATTATTATTTAAATTTATTTATTTACATTCATTCACTATACATCATTACAGCATACAAAATGAGATTTCCCATTCCAAATATACTGTATATTGGCTCAATCAAGCACATCAACATACGTGTTATTGTCAACAAATAATTTTCCATTTCTTGTTTCCTGTATTTTTTGCTTTTTTTTTTTTTTTGCCATCCTTGATTCCCTATTTCTCACCCTCTGCCATGTCCCACCCTCCTCCCACACTGTCTCTGGTATCCATGGTTGCTTTCTATGCCTTTTCCCCCCCATTTTATTGATTTGCTAATGAATTTAATTAATCTGAATATTTCCAATAGTAAGCATGGCTGATATATACATATCCATGAACACAAGTCTGTCTTTAGGCATAAACCTAAGTGAGTAGAATGAACATATTATGAAGTAGCACCTAGCTGGGGCTATATAACTTACTGTAGTCATCAAATATGCATTTTTTCCTGAAAATTTTTTAAATTAACTAATGTACATTCATCCCCTAATCATCGTCACAGCATACAAAAAGTGGTTTTTCATCCAGAATATACTGCATAGTGGCTTAATCATGTATATTATATTTTCCATTTCTAGTTTCATATATATATATATATATATATATATTTTTACCCCTATGTCTGACCCTCTGACCTTTCCCACCCTCTTTCACACTATCTCTGGTGTCTACAGTTGTCTTCCATTCCTTTCCCCCACACTTTTTATTGATCACACAATTTCTTAAATAATCTAACTACTTTCAATAGCAAGTTCAGCTGGTAATTTCAAGAAAAGCAGTTTTGAATTGGTAAGGAAATTTGCTTAAAACTTAAAGCCTGGGAATAGGTTAGTATTCTGTTCAAATAGTAAGTACATGAACCTATTGACAGCTCAAGACAGGACAAAAACTCTTAAAACCGGGCAACAAAGCCTAGAAGAAAAGCAACAATATTTTAGTCAAAGTCACAGAATGCCATTTCACCAGTTCAGTCTCATGTACTTAATCTATCTTCTGTTGTGGTTCTATCTTTGCAATTGAATTCTGGGTTATAATATTCAACTCCAGACTTGTCCCTATGATTAAGTTTGCCATATTCTTAGTTTTTGAACTCTTCTTTCCTTTTATTTTTTTTTCATTTCTTTTTTTTTGGAGAGTTTTTTTTTTTTTTTTTTTTTTTTGCTATAGGATACGTGCACTCGCTAGACAGACAGAGAGAAGCAGAGAGATAGAAAGCGAGAAATCACCCACCAGGGGAGATGGCCACGCCGCAATCCCTTCTCCTCCATTCTCCTCTCGAGATCTTGGGCACGCACGCACATGTGCCCGGCATGAGTTTTAAGCCTCTGGGTCTAGGATGTGAATCGCGGTCGACTACGTGGGAGTCCAGCGACATAGCCATTATGCTAACTGCTGGTCCCTTGAACTCTTATTTCTGTGTGACCTCAGCTATTCTAGTCTCTGACTGGCAGCTTGAAATACTTGCCAGCTGTGTGTGTGTGAATGCTCAGAATTCCAAGGGGAGAAAAGGAGAAGGGATTGTGGCGTGATTATTCCTCTGGGAGTTGCTTTCTCACTTTCTCTGTCTCTCTTTCTCTCTTTGGTAAGCATATGTACCCTCTAGTAAAATTATCACACACACACCAAAAAGTTTCCCAAATAGAAATATTTAGTACAAATTTATAATTAATAAGAATTCAGATTTAGCAAGTATAGGTATTGTTTATTGAATAATAAGTACATATTTATTTTATGCCCTTGTAGTGAAAGAAGAGCTGTATTAGCTTCACAGACTTCCCTTGCAACATTAGGAAGAAATGGACGCAACATCCCTGCAACCCTAGCACTTGAATCGAAGGAACTTGTTAAATCTGTTCGTGCCATTCTTGATATGGATTGTAAGTTTTCTGCATTTTTTACTTTTTTTGATAATGTAACCAAACGAAACAAAATTTTAAGTCCAACAGTTTAATTTCATTAAATGTGTTGGTTTGCTGGCAATAAAATCAATAGCTAATCAATAAAAGTCTTAATATACCAGTTGTAGGGGGAGAATATTTGCTCTTTTTAAAGTGTTAAAATGACTTCCAACTGAAGATAACTGATTAAAACGTGCCTTTACCTCTACTTCCATCTAAAGTCTCTTTGAAATGGAAGAATAAGTATAAAAATAAATTTATAGCAATGAAAACCTGGAAGGATAGAATTAACATTAAGGATTTTTTTTTAATAATATACAACAGATGGAATTAGATTGAAGGTACAGCCAGTTGAGCAAAAGACCCTAAAACACAATAAAAATGAAAGACAAAACTGTTGAGACAATGAGTTAATAGAACCAGGGAAAAATCCCCAAGATCACAGATAGGAAAGACTATGAGCTGACCCCGGGGCAGTCAGCAGGGTAATTAATGAAAGGACTGTAGAAGAGCTGAACCAGTTCCCTACTCTTCAGAGCTGCTGGCTCAGGCATTCACCCCTTAAGCAAGGGCCTGGATAATATCTAAAGGAACTGCATGATCTGTCACTAGATACCCTTGAGTCAGCACTGGGCTAGAAAGAGAAACAGAGCAATGCTCTAAGTAACTTCCAACACCCCAACAGGGAGAGAACCTTGGGGAAAGTTGAAATGATTGGACACTTCTATCTTTCCCTCTTCTCTTTTCCAGGCATTTTTGCCTCTTCATCGATTTCCCTTTTTGTAACTATTTTTAATACTGTTCATTTTCCTGCATTTGAAAGCGATAGGTGACTAACTAGATCTGTTATTTATAAAAGTCAATAACATGTCCTAACTGTGCTATAAAGGTTTTTAGGAAGATGAAATAAAAGAAAGGTGATTTATCATAAAATAATATATATTTTAATAGATAAATGCTTGGGTACAACCACAGTAGGAGATAGTATTGTAGTCATCAGATACTTTGCACCTACACATAGAATCACCACAAATGTGATGACTATGAATGTAGATTGATACAAGCGCGTTGTATTGTCAATTGAGCACAGTAGATAGTCTGAGCATATTGCTACTACCAGTAATGTGATTATCCAAAATGGTAAAAGATTCTTGGTAAAGTTCTAAACACAAGAAAGTCCAATTTTCAATCAATAAACATAGTAGTTACAAGTTTGAAAAAGGTAATATATAATCAAACTGCAAGAATATTTTGTATTTACTTGAAAATGGAGTTATATTCCAGACTCAAGTAATTAAAAACCAGTGTTTTACCAACATGAATATCTAATAAAACATTTGACACAGGACAAATCTTTGTGGCACAGGACTTTCCAGTATATGGAATTAATTCTCTTTAAAGAAAGTCAGCAAGACATTGGATCCATAATACAAGAAATAGTTGCCATGAAAGAAAAATAATTGTTGAGAACTTTTAAAAAGTAATTTAAGTTTTCTTTTCTATTAAGTGAAGATAATACTTATTCAAGAAATTTGCTGTGAAGATTAAACAATATAATTTATTGCATTCCTTGCATATTTTCTGGAACAAAACACATACTCAGAAGTATATTTTGAATTGCGGTTAACCTAATGGCTTAAAACAACAATAGAGCATTTTATCTCATGATCCTTTTGGTTAACTGGGTTCAAGCTAGGCAGTTTTCTTCGTAGGGGACTCTCATGTGGTTATAATCAGATGTCTTCTGGATTCACAATCATCTGATAACTCTACTGAGCTGGACATCGAAGATGAGAGCTCAATTTGGGTTATCAACTGGGACACCTATCTTATGTAGACTCCACAACTTGGTAGCCGGAAGGTAGCTGAATTTCTAACACAGTGGCTCAAGGCTCTAGCATAGGTATTCCAATGAGCAAGACAGAAGCTACATCACCTTTTATTACCCAGCGTCAGAAGACACACAGCCTTACATCCACCATATTCTATTCATCGGTGCAGATTTAAGAGGAAGATGTAGATTCCTCCCATGGAGAGTGGCCAGGTCACATTACAGTAGACCTAGTAGTCAGAAGTCTGCACCGTGGCTGTCTGTAGAGAATACAATTTGCCATGTTAGTATATGCTAAATTAGTTGGGATGACTCGATATCATCATAAGTATTTATTAATACCTGGGACGGTAATAGAGTATACTATAGTTTGCTTTTTCTGTTTCTTTATATCACTGTCTGCTGGTTGTTTTTGTGCTGGCCTGTAACATTCCACTGTTGCTCTAGTTTACCACTCTTGATCTTCCTTATGCTGGAGACCAGATAAACAAATATAGATAGATTGGTAGGTAGGTAGATAGATGATAGACAGGTAGAAAATTTTATGTTAATTAACTATCAAAATAATAAGTTTTGAATATAGTATGGGTAATAAAGGCTTGACTTGGCTTGGTATAGGGTAACCTCCAAAGACTCTTTGAGTAACTTTCAAGTTCACAACCATGTTATGGAGGATTGGAAACCATGCCTCTAATAATATCTGCTCAATTTATACAATAAACATGCATTTAAAATTTTGTATAAGCTAATACATTTTTTAAAATCAAATTATATGTTAAAAATCCATAAGAACTCATTATGTGGAGAAATTCTGCAGGTTTTATGAGAGATGAAAATTATCACTTCTAATGTGTTATGTGTAAGCCCAGAATTTTATGTATCGGATTTTTTCGTGTTGGGTGGGAACAGAGGAGGAAACACCTGCATAGACAGCCCAGTGGACATTGCCATCATTAATTTTAATTACCTTGCTAGCATTAACCTCCATATCTGTCAAACATGATTATTCAAAGAAAATATTTGAAATTCAGCAGAACTTTTTGGAAGAAAAGTGAAAATATCGCATATGCACTTTTTATTCATTGGTAAGATTTTACACACTTTGCTGTTTAAAACTAGCATATAGTTTTCTATGTTGTCCTTTTATCTAGAAATGTAACTGCTAATGTTGGCATATTTTGCTAGTACTTTTCATAACCTTATATAGCTTTTTACATTTGATAATTCAGATAAAATTAGCTCATTTTTCTTTCTCTTTATATGGTAGCTTTTCTTCATATATATTGGGAAACAGAAAATAATTACCTTAAAATAGATAATCAGCTGCAGCCTCCACCTCAGTTCCTTTTCATGGCTATATCATTAAGTTACACGTTGAAATTTTCATTGAGTTATTGCCTCCATTTTCTTCTGAATACAAGGAGTCTTAAGAAAATTCTTAGAAAATGCCTATTATGAAAAAACTCAACATGTATTTCAGAACTTTTGCATCAAAATAAATTTATACTTTAATATAATTTTCTTTTAAGTTTTTGAAGTCCTCTCATATAAATTCATTCTAAGGTGTTATACTATGGATTTCTCCAGAAATTTGAAAGATGTCTTGAGTCTTATAACATAAAACTAGAAGTATGTATTGGGTTGTCGGGAGAATCATAATGTATTTTTCTATTCAAAAATGCACCATGACTCTCCCAACAACCTGAAAGAAGACAATTCTGAACTATTTCTGGATCATGGTCTCCACTGAAATCCAATGAAAGTCCTCTTCCCAGAAATGTATAATTATCCATATTTTATATTTATTCTGAATATTTATATGCCCCAAACTAAGCACCTCCTTATGTATTATAGAATCACAGGGAATAGAAATGCTTTCAGTAACATTGCAAACATGGTCATCCCACCCTCATTAGAACAGATCTAGCATGGGAGAAGCTTATGAGTCACAGAGGCAGCCTGGAGTCAAGTAGCACTTTGAGTCTGTGAGAACGATGCTCACAGAATCTCTGATATTTCCTAATTGTTCATTCAGCTTCACTGAAAACATTACTTAACCTCTGTGTTAATTTCTCATATAAAAAGTGGAGATCATGATATCTAAGTGGCAGGATGGAAGGATGAAATGAAATACATGTAAATTACCTAACAGAGGCCCTGTGAATATGTATAAGGTGTTTGATTCATGGATGTTGCTGCTGCTGCCACATTATTATTGACTTAAAATAATTAAATTTATTTTCTCTCTATGGTAGGTATCCATCTAAGCTTTTTTAACTTGTATGTATTTAAAATATGGTAGATGAGACCCCATCTTACTGTGTAACTTTTAATGGTGTGATCAGTTTTAAGTTAGAACAAAATCAGCACAGGAAACTGGCTAACTGTCCATATCAGCATCTTAGTTTTTGATTGTTTATTGGTAACTAAGGAAACTTGATCTATTCTGTTACATCACTTTCAGTTAAAAAGTAGGAACAGAATCTGCATTTTTCAGTGTAGTAACCCCTAAAGATGCTACTATCAATCTCCATTAATATTTATACAATCCATATCATTGTAATGCCTTACTGTAACCTTTATTTGAAATAAGTAATTGTTCAGAACTGTAATTTTTTTTTTAGGAGAGGTTTTTTCACTATAGGGTGCGTGCGCTCGCCAGACAGACAGAGAGAGACATAGAGACTGAAAGCGAGAAATCACCCCCCAGGGGGGATGGTCATGCCACAATCCCTTCTCCTCCATTCTCCTCTCGGGTTCTTGGGCATGCACACACACGCGCCCGGCGTGAGTTCTAAGCCACCAGGTCCGGGATGCGAACCGCGGTCAACTACGTGGAAGTCCAGCAACGTAGCCATTATGCTAACTGCTGGTTCCCAGAACTGTAATATGGTTATTGACATATAGATTGACAAAATAATCATGTAACACAAGCAGAAAGAGGAAGTTGTATTTTTTTCCCAAGAGATTTTTGCTATAGGGCACACATGCTCACGGTAGACACAGAGAGAGACAGAGAGATAGAAAGCAAGAAGTCACCCCCCAGAGGATATGACCACACCACAATCCCTTCTCTTCCATTCTCCTCTGGGGATTTTGGGCATGTATGCACACGCACCCAGCGTGAATTTTAAACCACCTGGTCTGG